TATATATAGATCTCCCTTAAAAAAGGAGATTTTAAGGTCTAAATTTTTTTACCTATACATATTTATTCCACTCAATTAATGTGTGATTTATTTATTTTCTATTATAAGTTTTATATCGTGATATACATCGTTACAGCCACTCATCATAATGTATATTGTGATATGAATTTTTTGCCTAGTCATTTAGACATAAAATATTCTAAGTTGGCATAAGTTGCCTAAAATATTATAGTGTGACAGGACCTTAAGCTGCACATAGTCCTGTCATAAAACTATTTCATATAACTGGAATGTAAGTGTGGTAAAGCCAAATAATTGTAATATTGGCCTGCCATACAATGAGCTTCTGCCTGCTGAACTTATCATCTGCTGCRCTCTCATCTTCATCATTTTCATCATCAGAGGAGAAGCGACTGTTTCATTATCAAGATGGATTTATGACTGAACGAACGTCCATCTTGTTTCATCATCTCTGTGGCTAACAAAACATAAAAAACATTTTTTTTTCTCCGACAACTTGGGTGTGAAGAAACTTTGTTAAAGCTTCGCTCTGCGCGACGTGCAGCGGGAGGGAGGAAATGATCCCGCGACACGACGTAATTTTTATACAGCGGGAGGGGGAACTTTGAGGATACGTGTTTTAAAACGCTGTATTTCTAACTCCTGCTCAGTTTTCTCTGCACTCGCAGCCATGTTGACACAGGTGTGATGACGTAACTGATGACAGGACGGTAGAGGGTCAGTTTCTACCGTCTGTCACATACACCRCTCAGTCCTAATTGACAGGTTCATAACAGCTCCTGTGCTTGTCGGTATAGCTAGAACCAGCTAGCGACGTCCASTTCATGTATATCAATGGTAATATGAGCAAACTGGTCATCTTGTTTCCAATGATCAGTTTCAAGCTGTGCAGAAATGTGTTTTCTTTCTCTCTCTCTCTCTCTCTCCTTTTTTTAAAATTACCCTAAAATAATCAAATGCCCAATTAGTTCGTAGTTTAGCRTTTCCCAGTTTGCAGCCCTCGTTAGTTCAGTCGTTCTCCCCGTTTGCTCTTCCCCTCACTTCCTGTTGGAACAGGAAGCAGCCGACAGAGGTAAACAGCTGTTTAATGAGCCGTCAAAGTGAGTATCTCATCATTCTGTAGGAGATGTAGCCTGAACGTGTTTGTAGGTCTGAGRTGTAGTTGTTGACGATTTCTCTAAAGGTTGCTTTTTTTTCCCTGTATTTTTGTAGAGTCTTCCTGATGCTTTTAGTCGTGTAATTACAAATCCATACCTTTTTTTTATTTTCAAAACCTATAGCTTTCATCAGTCATAGGCTGTGTCCAAAACGGCAGGACGGGTCCTCCGAAGGTCGAATTTGTCGGCCGCATACGTCACAGCGCCGCGACGAAGGATGTCCAAAACGGAAGACTCCTCCGATGCGTCCGACAAATACGTCCTTCTTTTGGTCTGAATCGAAGGACAGGTCTGATGGATCCTTCCCGGCCCAGCATATCCCATAATGCATTGCGGCCCGACCGGAGATTTTTTTATGCTAGTAATGGCGGACGAAGCGAGAGAAAAGAATACGTTTTAAATAAAAATATGGTGATATAAAAATTAAAAAAAATTAGCGGTGGTAATTCTAATACTTTTATCATTTGTATGGACATGTTTTTAAATATTATTTTTTCGTCATAAAAAACGCGAAATAAACATGAACCTACAGCGGGTCAATTAGTTCTCCAAATTATACTTTTAAGTTAATTTTATAGTTTTGTGATATTAATAATGCTAATGTATTGATATTTTTCTARTTTTGATTTAAGTTTGCTTGTTTAGCGTCGTCACAGTTGCTAGGTGACAAGACGTACGCCCGGGTAAGGGAGGAGGCTAGACCGTCCAAATTCACAGCCTCTTTTTTTCCGGTCTTCCCGGTCTACCAAGGACCCGGCCTGCCGAGACCGGGTAGTCTGGGTCCTCCGGAGGACCCGGCCTGTCGTTTTGGACACAGCCATAGTTTCTCATCTTACCTTTTCAACTCTTCAAAAACAGCTGACATTTATGCAAGTAACWCTTTTTTTTATAGCTGATGATTTATTCACACAAGTGAAACTCTAACGTGCTGAACAAATAAAAATAAAAACAAGTGCCTTATAAGACCATTCTGTTAAAATTAAAAGGTATTTTGTTATGGGAAAGGTAAATAAAAATAAACTAAGATTTTTTAAAAAAGTCAATTTTAAAACAGAAGATCACAAGTAATGAAGATAARCAATAAGGCAAAATAAGAAAAAAATTCCAGTTACCACTCTGTATGTTAAAATACTTACTAATCGTGTTTTTAGTTTTATAATTTACTAACTAATTAGTTTAATGTCTTAAATTTTCATTACAATCTCAGACTTTTATCGTATTTTCAAAGTAAGATCATTTTTATTTGATAAATAGACGTTGACATAATTATAAGAGCTGCAAATCCAGTTGTTACTTGATTAATTCAAGATAAATCGTAGTTATTAAATAACGTTTCAGGCAATGTTTTTTGTTTTTCAACAGAATATTTACAAACAGATACTTATTCATTGTTTATGTAAGAATTGAACTGTAATCTAAAAATATTTCATTTAATCTGATTAAACGTTTTTAATTGTGGATTTCTGTTTTCAGCTTCAGCTTGTACAGTTGGCGTTTTACTCTTCTTTTTTCCTTCCTCTGTTTGTTTTGATGATGTTTGACCTCAGGTTTACCTTTTAATTCACAGAAGACAAAGGCGTCCATGAAAACTCTGTGAAATCTGTTTCTGAACTTTCTCAGCCGGAGAACGATCGATGTGATGAAGAGGCGCTGCCTGGTACGCCGCCCTCAGCCCGATGCTTAAAATACGCTCAGTCTTTATTTCGCCTGCTTCACTTTGTCTGCAAATTGTTGCTTAATTCTTTCTTTTATTTTAAAAAAGTCTTTTTCTTTTTTGTAGAGAGAAAAGCTGCTTTCCCCCCCAACAATAACACACATTTTAATGTTTTGTTTTCCTGCTTTAAGCTGCTCTGCTGTGCTGTTCCCAAGAGACAGACTAAATGCACGATGAGTCACTGTTTCACACAAGCTATAAATATTACACTATTMTGTGCTTCTCTCTGGGTAAAGCATGTTTTGAACACAAATAAAGACTCACCTTGTCTAAAACAATAAGAGAGAAGAAATGTTTTTGATAAAAATGGCCGTTTGTTGCAGCAGAATGTGATGATTGAGCAAACCCGAGCAACGTTACACAGCTTTATAGTTTTAATTTTAAAAAGTGCTGACACTCGTTTATCCTGCAGCAGAAGCTTCAGCAGCAGGAGGAGGAGCTGCAGTTGTCTCTGAGCTCTCAGAAAGAGAGAGCTCCTCGAGCGAAGACAAGGGGGAAGTTGGTACGCCTCCATCCGCCGCGCTCCTTTTCTTCAGCTGCTTGTGCTTTCATCAGTTCTTCTTTATTATTATAATTATTACAACTCTGGAAATACACTTATTTGCTTTGTTGCTGAGAATTGAAGACCGCTGCCATTATATTAACATGTTAGCCACATGTACATTATATTGTTATCTGTCAAAACATAAGCCAATTAGCACTTGGATTTCAGTCTGTTAACTGCCCTTATTTTAGCATGTTAGCTTTATTTCTGCAAACACATTAGCACTTTTGTCTCAGTCTTTTATCTGGCAAAACATTAGTCTGTTAACACTTTTACATTATCCTTTTATCTGCCAATACATTACCATGTTAGCTACTAGTTCATTAGTTTATCTGTCAATTTATTTGCATGTTCGCCACTAGTATATTAGCATGTTATATGCMCAGAAATTAGCATGTTAGCCATCAGTCAATTAGCTWATTATCTGYCTTATAATTGGCATGTTAGCCACCTGTAAATTAGCTTATCTGTTCATATRTTAGCATGTTTGCTATTAGTACATTAGCCCATTATCTGCCTATAAATTAGCATGTTAGTAMTCACTCAATTAGCTTATCTGGCTTAAAATTAGCATGTTAGCCACTAGTGCAGTAGCCTGTTATTTGTCCATATTTTAGCATGTTTGCCAATACATTATTCTGTTATCTGCCCATATATTAGCATGTTCGCCACTAGTACAATAGCCTGTTATCTGCCCAGAAATTAGCATGTTAGCATCACTCAATTAGCTTATTGTCTGCCTTATAATTCACCTGTAAATTAGCTTATCTGTCCATATATTAGCATATTTTCCACTTGTTTGTTAGCCTTTTATTTGCCAACACTGTAGCCAGTTAGCCACTAGCACATTAGCATGTTAACTGCCTATATATTAGTATGTTTGCCACTAGTTTTTTAGCCTTTTATTTGCCAACACTGTAGCCAGTTAGCCACTAACACTTTAGCATGCAAGCTGCTAAAACATGATCTTTTTAGCCATCRATACATTGGTTTAGTAGCTGCCGTTACATTAACCTGTTTGTTACTTATACAGTATATTGACTAGTTAGATGCCATTATCTAGGCATACATTAGCTTAATGGCAGCCAATGCATTACCCCGTTGGTAGCAAAACATTTTCTTGATAGCCAAAAAAAACCCCTCAAAACGTTAGCTTATTAACTACCAAGCCATTATTTTGTTAGTAGTTAAAACATTCTTGTTAGCAGCCAATATTCTTACAGTACATTAGCCTGTCTGTCACCAAGMATGTTAGCTGTCAAAACATTATCTTTTCAGCTGTCAGTACATTAGCCCATTAGCTACTAAAACATTTACACTCAAGTCATTCAGACTGTTAATGTTAGGTTAGCAGCAGAAGATAACAGGTTTTTATTTATAGTGATCTTAAGCAATAAATAATTCTTTAAAGGTGTAAAACCTTTATCCAATTTGTAAGCTGTCCTTTAGCGGTTTGCATTGAGCACTTTGACCTTTTAAATACTTATTAAATTTATTTTTCAGACATTAGTTCCCATGATTTAATTAGKCACATTTTTATTTATTGTACCAACTTGAGAGTGGAATTAAAAAATCTCAGACCAGAAAGAAAGCAAGTCGGTGTATTTCTCAAGGTGTTTAAATACTTTAAACAAAGCTGCTTGCTGCCCACCTCTGTTGAAAAATGAGCTTATTATCTGTTTCTTTCAGCATCATGAATGAAAACGTTCAGTTTCTCTGTTTTTAATTTTTTTTGTTTGATTTTTTTAGGATTTTTTTTTGGCTTGGGTTTTATTTCTTTTTCATGCCGACTGTGACGCCGCTTCAAACTGAGCTGCAACTAAATTATAAACAGACTAAAATAGCAACCRAGTTCAAAGATGGTTACTGTACATGGTGCTTATTTTAGAACAACAAAAGTGTCCAAACTGCTGGCAGATTTAGGACTGGTGTGTCATCTGTTATACAGATGGATGTTTCTGTGTGGCGGGAAAGTCCAGGAAGAAGTTAAACACCAGACAGAATATGGTCCAGAGTTTTACACTGCCTGAGAATTTGTTTATTTTGCTTATTTACCTTTTTTATTTTTGAAATATTTATTTATCTAACAGGTTGTGGCTGTGGGCTTTTCTGCATTAACTGAAGACATGCTGTTGTGTGCTTATTGATTTCTTTATGAGGCAATAATCGTTCATGAATGACAAAAACTAATTACATCTCTTGTTTTTTTATCATCTGTCATCAATAAGCAGCAGGAGGACCATCTTCAACAGGTAGGCTTTTACTGCCTCTATTGATTGCTCTTACAGTATTTARTTTTTACAGAAGGCTTGTGTGAAACCGTTTAGGACAGAACCAGCCCAGATGGGTTTGAGTTTTATTATATAGCATCATTTCCTGTTTCTTCCTCAGTAACTGAGGCAGAGAATGTCTGTTTTCTGAAGCTCCTCAGTGCTTTGTAAGATTTTGATTCATTTTAACTGCCAGAAACATAAAATAGATTAATATTATTGCAGGCCTCTGTGGAGCTGTCATCATTGTCGCATAACATTAGCATAGCAGCCACAAGTATGTGAGCATTTTATATGAAAATACACCAGTATGTTAGCCTTTTATCTGATAAATATATTAGCATGTTAGCCACCAGTATGTTAGCCTTTTATCTGAAAATACATTAGCATGTTAGCCATCAGTATGTTAGCCTTTTATATGAAAATACATTAGTATGCTATTTACCAGTATGTTAGTGGTTTTATCTGATAAATACAAACATGTTAGCCACCAGTGTGTTAGTCTTTTATCTGAAAATACATTAGCATGTTAGCCACCAGTATGTTAGCCTTTTATCTGAAAATACATTAGCATGTTAGCCACCAGTATGTTAGCCTTTATCTGAAAATACATTAGCATGTTAGCCACCAGTATGTTAGCCTTTATCTGAAAATACATTAGCATGTTAGCCACCAGTGTGTTAGTCTTTTATCTGATAAATATATTAGCGTGTTAGCCACCAGTATGTTAGCCTTTATCTTAAAATACTATAGCATCTTGGTAAATATAAATTCCCATTGTTCTTCACAAGTAACTGTTTTCTGAAGCTCCTCTGTATTTTTAAACATTTCCTTTATTTTAACTGCCAGAAACAACATTAGAGCATGTTATGTGGAGTTTCCATCACATTGTYTGTTGTTGCATCTCAGTTTTTACTCATCTCTTTTGTTTTCCTCATTACTTTCTTTAATTTTGAATTAGATTTTTATGTTTTTAAAGGGGAGGTGGAAAACAAGTGCTGTGAATCTCAATAATCTGCTCTTTAAATCAAATTAGTGGGGCACGGTGATGAAGACCACTGTGAGTTTGCGGCCGGTTCTCCGGACCCAGGAAGCAGTGCAGCGGGGGAGTCTGGGAAGAGGCTGAGCGACTCTCAGTGGACCTCCGAAGACCTCGGCTGCAGGTCGGAGACGGAGGCCGGCGGTGGGAGTCCTGAGCTGACCAGAGCTGCAGATTCTCAGAGGGCAATAAGCCTCGAYGCCGCCGAGTGTTTGGCTGAGACCAGCAATCCGTCTGGGACGGCTTTAGTCCGCAGCACGGCTTTGGAAGACCTGACCTCCATCGAAGACAGAAGCTTGTGGGTCAATCAGAGGGAGGAGCAAACTAAAGATCCAACTGCTGATGGAGAAAATTCACATTTCTGCAGTGACTCTCAAAGCAAAAATGCACAGCAGAGTCCTCAGAAACAAAGCCCATCACAGTCTCGCTTTGATTCAGAAGATCTCCTGCCAACACACATTTCTGAGGAGGATCGCCTTTTTACCAAACAGCCAMGTGAGCCGGAGGCCGAAAGCAGAGGTGACTCATCGTTACACAAGGACGGCGATTCAGATCCTGACATTTCTAACCAGAAGGGGAGCAGAGCCTCTCAGTCCCCCGCCGAGCCCCAGGAATCTCCCTCCCAGAGCTCGGCTGCCAGAAAGTCTCTGGTGCCGGTGGCTGTTTTCAAAGGTCTGTTTGCTGTCAGACCCCGCCCCCTTCAGTTCAGTTAACTCCTCCCACTCCTTTGATTTATGACGCGGCTTTGTCTTTCAGTTACGCAGCACTCTTCCTCCAAATTATTTCTACGGATGCCTAACTTTGATGCGAGGAGCTTGTTGTCCTCTTCCCCCCTCACTTTAGCTTTTTGTTCCATCTCTGACCTTTCTGCTGACGTTGCAGCCCGACATGTGAGATATGCCGTGTTGCATGCTCTCATCTGTTTACTGTTTTATTTATGGTGATGTTTGTAGGAGCACGGAATGTTTACCTGCACCTGGTTGGATGTGAAACAATAACTACAGATGYTAAAAGTTTGAGTCACATGATCTGTTTTCTTTTGTAGCTCAAGCAAAGACAAATAMTGGAGAGAAGGTAATTATTACCGCGATGTTGTTTGAGGATAATTCTGGTTTATTAAAACTTTGGCTTCTGTAAGAACAAAAGAAGAAAAACATCAAAATACATTATTGTTCTCCGCCTCTGAGGGAAGGTTTACTCCTGGAGTTCTGGGGTCACTTTTAGGGGACTATATGGTTCCCGTAGAGCCAAAACAGGAAGTGGTTGGACTCCACCAGGGCTGTCCCTTGTCTCCCATCATGGTCCAAACAGGGTCTGGTTTGGGAATTTYAGGGTCTCTGTTGTTTATAGGCGATGGGGTTTTGTTGGCGCCTTCCAACCATGACGGCCAGTGTGCACAAGGTTGAGTCTAAGGCTGCGGTTGAGCGAGATTGACAAGAAAATTTAACACGATTAATTGTGGCATTCATCCAATATTGATTAATATAAATCAGTTAACGTGTTGTAAAATTAATTGTGCTTAAAAATCGTCATTTCAGCTGCCTCATGTTATCTTCGTCCAGCMCTTATTTTGCTGCTCATAAWGGGCAGATTGACTGAGYGCGTCACAGATTCCCAGTTGAGTAGATTTGTTTCCACCATTMGCTGGAGGAAAGTTTCTTGTAGCCGACGTTSCCTCAGTCCACGTTTTCTAGCTTTCCTCGTACTCCGGTTTATCGCAKAGTTTCAGATGATTATACAAGTTCATAGTGTTAGCATTAGCTTTGCGTTAGCGCTGCATGTTTTGTTAGGTCTTCATTGTGTTAACATTAATGTAGCTTAGCATTAGCRTTTGCTTTGCGTTAAGCTAGGTTTATAGTTTATAGTATGTATGTATTATAGTTTATAGATGCATGGAATACAGTGTGCGCCGTGCGTTCAAATAATTTGTTTGCCCATCAAGCATTTCCTCTTCATTTTACAACATTCCCACAAGTTATGAAGTGTACTGCGACATGTCCTTTCAGAGAATATTGCCCCAGCATTTATAACATGGTTCCCACAGGTCCTTGAAATCCTTGAAAGTTTGTGAATTTGAAAAAATATTTCAAGGCCCTGGAAAGTTTGTGAAAACAGTCAAAAATTACATTTGTCCTTGAAAGTCATTGAATGTTTTTTGGGGATTGAAATTCTCTATTCACGCGACTGATTTTCATCATCTTTTATAAAGATAAATTATAAAATTAAATTTAAAACATTTGTTGCGGTRGATAACTCAGGATTACGGTAAACTGACGTCATTGTTTCTGACTCAACAACTTCTATGTTGTTCAGTTTTTCATTGAATTTACATGATATTAAACCTGTTTATTGGTAACATTCTGCGGTAGGTAATTGCCGTTGCGCGTGGTTCTTTAATTTGAGGAAATTGGTACTGGAAAGTCCTTGAAAAAATTTGATGTTGACCAAGATGTGGGAACCCTGTTATAAACACCTACAAAACTTTCTCAGGTCCACGCGCCGACACAGGAGCCCTGTGCAACACTCACAAGTGTGACTATAACCAAGCTTTTAGTGTTAGSTCTATGTTAGCATTAGCTTTTTGTTAGCTGTATGTTAGCTCTGCACCACAGTGACTTCTATAAGTCACTAATCACAGCTATCCCCAAGTGCTAATTATTAATCTGACAGTTTTTCTGACCATTAATTGCACTTRTTACGATTTTGTCCAACTCTATCTGAGGCAGCAGTCTGGACAGGTCATCTCAAGTGAAGTATGCTGGGTTAGGGTTAGCCACTGCTGCTGGTCATTGAAAGATTGGAAGACAACAAGGAGGCAAATCCAGAACTCACTGGAGGGATTATTTCCTCTTTGGCCTGGGAACGCCAYGTCAGAAGAGAGTTGTTTTTTCTTTAACCTGTTGCTTAAATGACCCACCTTTTAAATAAGAGGTTGAAAATGGAACGATGAATTAATTTTTTGAATAGTCTCCATTTCTAATTGGTTGCTAGACTAAATAAACTCGAATCTCCCCAAAAAAAAAAAAATACCATGACCAGAGTTGTAATACACCAGAACTGTCCTTATGAGTCATTCATTTATTATTTTTTACCATCTTTAATTTGTTAATCTTCTGTTTGACATCTTTTTATTTGAAGTTTTGTTTTTCATTCGTTTTTCTTCTTATGACAAAAGCCTCAAACCACCACCTCACCGCCCTCTTCCCCCAAAACATCACCCATTGTCACCAAGAGCAACAAAACACCCGCCTCGTCCCGAAACGGCCACAGCTCCATTCCTGTTAAAACCCTCAGCCCGGGGGCGAGGCGGCCYGGAGTAAGTACCGGCCCGACGGCGGCTCGGTGATCCGTTTCCTCAAACACCTGCTTACTCAGACAAATTCAACTGACATTTTCTGTTTTAAGTCTTCGTTTTTTCCTCTCACCCAAACAAACCTGTTGTATTTTTAAATAATCGTCTTTCTAAAGCTCAAACATGGTCTCTGCTGTGATTTTCAGGCTGCAGCGAAACCTCAAGGAGCCAAAACTTCAGCCAGAACTCAACCAGGTAATAAACCAACAGCACCACAGTTGATACTCTTACATTCAGCATCTCTTATGATGTGTTGTATTTTTATGTACAGTTTGTGCCAAGAAACCCCCTACTCCCAAAAATGATAGAGGTAAAAAAAAAAAGAGTAGATTTAAGAACGCTTCCTGCCTCGCATGAACGCCACAGTCTGGTCCTTTTGGATCAAACGTGGTCCGCTTTAAGCTGGTAGTGCTGACAGTTAGATCGTGTTTTATTTCCTTCTTAATAGAGCTCCTCCTCATTTCCAATTTTTCTGTTTTTATTTTTAAGATGCTCGAAGCGGACAGAGCAGCCCCGGAACGCCCAAATCCCCCGGCAGCCAGGCGGTCTCTGCCTCCGAGGCCAACAAAGTGAAGAAGGTGGCGGTCGTCCGCTCCACTCCCAAGTCTCCCAGCTCGCTGAAGACCCGTTCGCCGGCTCCTCTGGTGGCCGCCGCCGCCGCCGCCGCTCCGATGCCCGACCTGAAGAACGTCAGGTCCAAGATCGGCTCCACAGACAACATTAAACACCAGCCTGGAGGCGGGAAGGTAACTTGAGACAGGATTACTGCTCTATGTGGCTGATTTATTAAAAAAAAAAAACTAACATTRTTCTTTTATTCTATTTAAATTTATTGTTTTTATTATTTCTTTTTAACATTATTTGAATTATTCATTCAGAATCTTTAAGAGATGTCTTTTTGAAAGACGTTTTTATTCTGATATTCAGTTTTTCATCTCGTTTATTTAAAATCGCTCCATGTTTAAACAACAGAATAATAACTCCATTTTACTCTTTTAATTTTTTTAAAGCTTCAGCTGTTTTTCTTTTCTCCCCATCCTCCATTCAGTTTATCTGGTAACAAACATTACAGATCAATAAAAAGTCTTAAAGAAATCTCCGTCCTCAGCCTGCATGCTGCTGAAACAAACCACTGCTACACGACAGCCGTTTCTTTTCACGCGCCACGTCTGAAAGCTGACATTTTCATTCTTCCAGGTACAAATCCTTGATCAGAAGTTGGACTTTAGTACTGTGCAGTCTAAGTGTGGCTCCAAAGGCAATATCAAACATGTACCCGGTGGAGGCAATGTGAGTAACTGAGGGATAAACTCAACGCTTGACTCTTGAGTTTCTCTGCAGTTATTACAATAAGACACGGGCTGAGACGACAGAATCACACAGACATGTCTGTAGAGTTAAACATGTTCCTTTAAATATGGCATCTGTAACATTTTAATTCTTTGAAATAAAAAGAAACAGATAAATTAAATATCAGAAGCATCACCCTGATAAATCGGGTGTTTTTGGTTTGTTTACATCAGGAATCTGCTGATAGATTTTGTTGGTAATGTTAGGAGTTCAGAGGTTTTCTGTGGAGCTCATTTGGAGCCATAAAGTTTGTTCAAAAAAAGTTTTTTGAAACTGAAAAACAAATTTAAAACTAAAAAGATTTTGAATGATAAAATAATTTTTCTCTTTCACTTTTCCTGCTGCTGATTTAAAACCAAACACTGTTTAAATGATTTGATCCAAAAGCATCAAAAACAAACATGAGGAGTTACAGATGGCAGCTTTAATTCAGTGATTTAATTTAACTTTAAACCCTTTTAACTTTCTCCTTCTTCTCCGTTTGGGTCGATCTCTTTCCACAGCTGCTCTCGTTGAGATTTTTCTTTCTGTTCTGRCCTTTTTCAGGTCCAAATCCTGGATAAGAAGCTGGACCTGTCSAGCGTCCAGGCCCGCTGTGGGTCTAAAGACAACTTAAAGCACAAACCAGGTGGAGGAAAGGTGAGACGTCAACCTTTTTTATGATCAGTAAAGAAAAGTGACGACAGAACTGAACATGAAATGCCTCATATGAACTTTTAACCTTGAAATGGTCTTACTTTTAAACAATTTAACATTTCTCTTTTATAAAAGTAATTTTGAAAAGCTCACTCTATTGAGATGATCAATTTTTCTTCCTTACGTTTTTCAGCACTTTACTTGTTCCAGTTCATGTATCAAATCTCATTAATGCCGTGACAGCTATGACCTTTGTTATTTCGACAACTTATACTATATTATATTTTATTTCAGTTATTTAGCTTCTTTGACCACTTTTTCCTCATTGAAAATTAATGGATCTGTTTTCAACATCCTTAAAAGCCTTCAAAATGTTTGGAAATCTTTTGTGCGCTTTTTACCCTTCACTCTGGTTCTTCTTCTTTGTGCTAGTTTTTAGCATTTTTTTTAGCTAGTTCTTCTGCTAATTTTAGCTTTTTATTTATATTTCAGCTTTGTTTCAGATAATTTCTGCTATTCTGCAAAGTTCACCTTCTCTTTTTGTGGTTATTTTAGTTTTTTTTAATCTAATTTTAGCAGTTTTATTTATTTAAGATGATTTTAGCTGATTTCTGCTATAGCTTTTTACAGTAATTTCAGCTTCTTACTTTTTAATTCAGCAAACATATGCTCTGTTTGGTTCTTTGTGCTAATTTTGGCCCTTTTTTGTAGCTATTTTTAGCTTTGTTTTGATATTTTATTGCAAACTGCCACTTTTTTGTACTTCTTCCTTTCTTGTTTTCTGCTAATTTGAGCTTTTTACTGTACTTTTACCATCTGTCTGCTAAATGCAACTTGTTTCGGCTCTTTTCAGCTCTTTTTAACACATTTTTTGCTATTTTCTTATTTTTCACTTTTTTTGCCTTCTTTCAGCAAACATCAACTGTTCAAATTTAACTCACATTAACAGATTTGTTATTAAACATTTTCAGCTTCTTTTGCAGCTTTAAGCAAAAATCTTTCAGCAATCAGCATTTTCACTGGATTTTCATTGGAAATGCAAATTCTCTAGTTGAAATCTGTGAATAAGCTGTTACAACACATCTTCTCAGCTTCACTTTTAAACAATAAACTTCTCAATTTTGAGCTGCTGCTGAGGAGGCAACAGTTTCTACTGTAGTTGTTTTAYGGACATGGCAGAATCAAAATAACATTAAATTTACTGAGGCTAGACTAAAGAGACCCTAAAACACCAACAAACTGTTTAATTTTCAGGAGCAGCAATCAGAGAGTTTTATCTGAGTTTCAGTTGCAACGTTAGAACAGTAGAGCTGGATATCATCGGCGTAAAGAATACATCGTACATTCCTGAACTGTTAGGTCTCAGAACAGAACCCTGCGGTACACCACGAGACGACCAGGTTATTCCATTTACAGAAACATTCAAACTACAATCAGACAGGTGGGATTAGAGCCTGGMGGACAGAACCAGATGATGATGCGTCCGAAGTGGTGACATCATCATGACATTAGAAACCTTTAATCAGGCAGTTTCTGTGGAGTGCGTTTGCTAAATGTTCTATTTTGTGGCTCTGAATTTAAAATAAAACCTTAAAATTATGAATTGACAGTAAATCTTTCATTTCTGTTGTTTTAATCCTCCTGGTTAGAGCTCCTTGTTGAAGATTATTTGTGACTCATGGCATCAAACAGGTTTAAGTCAAAATGATTTCAGCACATTTTCAGATTCCTGGTTTTTAAGCTACATTCTGATATCTTGAGTTTTTATGGCTTGATTTGTCTTCCTGATCACCATAACTCATTGATTTGATGYGATGGGTCACATTTCTCCTCCTCGGTCCTCTTCTTGGTGTCTTTTCCTCCAGCTTTGACGTTTTTTTTTTCTCCCCATAAACAAACTCCAGGTTCAAATTCTTGATCAGAAGTTGGATTTAAGCAGCGTGCAGTCCCGCTGCGGCTCCAAAGATAATATCAAACACGTTCCCGGTGGTGGAAATGTGAGTAAAACAAATGGAGCATGGTCCTGACGGAGCAGGAAACCTCCTGTTTGAACCCGTTCTGACCCGGATAATCCCAGAACTTTAACACCTGATTGTTTTATCTTGGGACTTATGGAGTCATGAGCATTTTCTCTGCTACTGACCCAAACTTTTCCTTCCTGCGTGTTTTTTTTTTTTCCCCTAAATGCTCATGATCGAACATAATCCTGATAATCCTGTTAAATCTGTCGGCTTGACTGTGACCCAAATGGATCCCAGAACCAGCATKCATCAGCTCTGTGTTGTTTTAAACTGAAGGCCTTGCTTTGAAGGAATGCATTTCAGCACCAGTTGATGACAACGTTTTAGCTGTTTTGATCAAACTCAAACCTTATGTTACTAATGTTGGGAAAGTCTCTCAGCTACTACCACACTAAACTTAGTGTCTGAGAAACCACCATGTTGGTTAGCTGTGGCGGCCATTTTGAATCAGATTGTCTCCAGAAGTTAATAAGATGTAGGCGAAATCTGCTGTACTTCTTACAACCTCCTCATCGGTTCACGCACCGACTCTTCCAGCTCTGTGACTACCAYGTTGGCTCCGCCCACCTCTGCCTGGCCCGAGGCGCATAGGAGTGGTTGTTTTTGTGATGTAGTCATTTTTGCTTCAGTCAGCGGAGAATCGTTAGAATAAAGTGAACTAATTGTTTAAAAGACGAACAAAGCTTCTCTGTCTCCAAACGAGCTCAGAGCGTTTTGTGTTTCCACACAATCCAGCAGGAGATGAGGYCACTTCAGTCCCACAGCTTTACGCTCCAATCTGACTCTTAGTTTTTATTTCTAWTAAACAAAACCTGCAGCTTTTAATCACTAAATATTCATCTTTTTTTGTTGCAGCTCTAATAATCTGGTTCTGAGTCTGTCTAATCCAGTTTGTCTCCTCATGTTGGGTTTTTATCGGTCTGTTGTTTTTTTAAAAGACTAATAACCACCCACAGAGACCAGAGTTTAAAATAATTGATTTAATCAGTTTTACCCCCACTGTTCAATAAAATGTTCTGTTTTTGGTTTTGTCTCGTCTGCAGGTCCAGATTGTGCACAAAAAGATCGATCTGAGCAACGTTCAGGCCAAATGTGGATCGAAGGACAACATTCGCCACAAACCAGGTGAAGAAACAGGAAAAAAAAGGTTTTGCTGTTGCAAAATCTTTAAACTCAAAATTTACAGATTTTAAAGAGTTTTTTTTTATATAGTTGTCTAGATTTATTGAGGACTATACCTAAAAAAACAAAAAAAACAGATAATTCACAAACTGACTGGATGAGGGGAGGTGGCCTCAAATTGGCCACGCCCACGTGGAGGCGGAGCTCGGTTGTATCAAAATCCACCAAGACAACYGAAACATTCTAAAGTCTAAACACCAACAGACCTGTTCTGAAGATGCTTCGGTTTTAATCCGAGCAGCTCTGGACACGCAGAGAGGGATAATCCCAGATTAATCCAGGATTGAACGTATTAAAACATTAGCTTGAGCTGCTAAAATGGCTCCAAAATATGTCTCTCAATGGTTTCCTCCACCTCTGCTSCTCATGATGTCAGACCTCCTCCTCTTCTTCTTTCAGGCGGTGGAAACATTGAGATCAAAAATGAGAAGATAGAGTTTAAGGTTCAGTCTAAAGTCGGCTCCATGGACAACATCGGCCACGTTCCTGGAGGCGGACAGAAAAAGGTAAAAACATCTGGATCTCACCGCAGGTTCTGAGTCGTTTTGGTCAAATCCAAAGAAAAACACGGAAGAACTCAAAAACTGAACGAGATCAATAAATGAAACCTCAAAAGATTTWAAAAAAAACGTGTTTTATGAAGCCATATCAAGGTGGACTTACCTGGGCAGTAAGACCAGGCAGGTCTTCAGCTTCACCGCTTCTTATCTTTCGTCCTCCCTCCATCTTCATCCAGTTCCCTTTTTAATTTCATCAAGTTTTCATGTTAGTTTCATTTCTTTTTGTTTTTCTGTTGGATCCATCCTGTTTGTTTTTGTTTTGTTTTTGCCTCGTTTCTTTTGGGCGCGGCTCCTCTGCAGCGGCAGAGAGACGCCGAGGGGAGCGTCTCGGGCAGCCCGTCCATCACCTCCCCCGTTGTCTCCCCCCCTCAGTCACCTCAGACCGTCCCCTCAGCACCCATCTCACCCGTCCTGACGAACCCCCTCATAAAGACTGAGGACTCCTGTAAGTATCTGCTCGCCTCGCAGAGCCGAAGCTCCATGTTTTAGCTACTTTGAATTAAATATTAAAGTAAAACAAACACATCAGAAGCTGAAATCAGCAAAACAGTAGCTAAAAGTGACTTTTAGCAACATTGTAGGTAAATACTAAGAGTTACACTGTAAAATGAGCAAAACTGTAGTTGAAGTTAAATATACCTAAACCTCAGCTAAAAGCTAGCATAGCTAAATCATCCCTGAAAACTTAAAATTGTAGCAAAACAGAATCTAGAAGGTAAGATTTTCTAAACCATAGCTAAAAATGCAAAATGGTCCAAAATAAAGACAAAACCTAAATGTAGTGGTAGTAGTAGTAGTAGTAGTAGTAGTAGTAGTAGTAGTAGTAGTAGTAGTAGTAGTAGTAGTAGTAGTAGTAGTAGTAGTTAAAGGCTGGAGCGCGTTCTTTACTCAGAGAATATGAAGCAGACTTCTCCAAATGGATTATTATTATTAGTAGTAGTAGTAGTAGTACTGGTAGTAGTAGTAGTAGTAGTAGTAGTAGTAGTAGTAGTAGTAGTAGTAGTAGTAGTAGTAGTAGTAGTAGTAGTAGTAGTTAAAGGCTGAGTTAAACTGTTGTGAGAATGTAAAATTGTAGTAAAAACTAAAACTGTAGCTAAAAGCCTAATTTAGCAAAAGCTAAATGTAGCAAAACCACAGCTAAAAGTAGCAAAATTGTAGATAAGGAATAAAATTTGCATAACCACAGCTAAAATTAGTAAAAATCATGGCAAATCCTAAACTAAAACCATTTGTAAAAGACAAAATCAAAGAAATCAGCTAAATGTAGCAAAACTGTAGCAARAAGTTAAATTTAGCCAAGTTGTAGTTAAATGCTAAGAGTTAAACTTTTGTTAGAAGGTAAAATGAGTAAAACTGTAGTTAAAGTTAACAGAGCTGAAAGATAAATCGAGTTTTTACTAAAATAAAAGGTAAATGCTAAGAATGAAACTGTTTGACACGCCTTCAAATACAAAGTCAAAGAAAACATCTTTATAGTTAAGAAACTTGTAATAATAGACACGATTTAACCCGTTTTGTCCTTTAACTGGCATATTTTCTTTTGAACTTGTCTCAGCCAAAGTGAAACAGGAAGTGACATCAAAGAGGAACTCTTTAACAAAGAAAACTCTCTGACCTTTGTTTATTAAAACGATCTTATTTGAACTCTCACTCTTCATCTCTGATAGTGACTAAAAATAACCTTAAGAAACATCAGATTCTTCTCTACAGTCTGTTTTTTAGCTGTTGTAGCACCACTCTGTTCACATTCAGACATTCCCCTTTGACATCACTTCCTGTTACTTCACAGGCAAATATCTCAACAACTGTTCATCTCAGCTACGTGAAATTTCTTTTGCAATATTTTGTCAATGACATMTTTTCAAAAATGCATTTATTGAAAATATTTGACATCACAGTCACTTTAACCTAGTGGGATTTAAAGATAGCAAACCGTAGCTAATGCTAATCTGCAAAATAAAACCATTTCACTGACTGTTTCTCCGGTCCGACCGCAGATCGAGAGCCACAAGCTGAGTTTCCGTGAGACGGCCAAGGCCCGCACCGACCACGGCGCCGAGATCGTCTCCCTGGACGAGTCCCCGCACCAGCTGAGCACCGTGTCGTCCTCCGGCAGCATCAACATGGCCGACTCTCCGCAGCTGTCCACGCTGGCCGACCAGGTGTCCGCCTCCCTGGCCAAGCAGGGCTTGTGAACGCAGCCCCGCCCACGACCACACGGAGGAGTCGTGACGCCTTCCTCCTTCTTTTCACTGGACTTTTTATTTCCTCCAGCTTCCCGTCACCGTTTATCCACTAACCTTTTTAATATTAGAGCTCGTAAAGAAGAAAAAAAAAAAACAAATAAGCTAAAATGTATTGATTTTTCTCTCTACTCAGAAGCTTTGAACCTTTTGTAGTGACCGTTTCAGAGTTCAAGCAGAAATCAACAAATCCTGGTAAATATGACTTTGTCTCCTCTCACAGACTGTAAACCCTTTAGGATTAACCTTTGCTGGGTGTCCGCTAAGTTAATTTATTTTGTATTTAAATACCGAACAGTGCAGACGGTTTGAAGGAACAGTTTCAGGGTCTGGTGAGGGGGGTTTAGGTAGAAAACRGCTTAAAGAAAAGTAGCAAATTTCCTGTTAAAGCAGGAAAAAWAAGTGCTTTGAGACGTCGCTGCTGTTTTTGCTTCATGCTGCTGCTCCTCCAGCTGCAGCCGCTGACCTCAGCTGAAATCAGAGCACCGAGGAGCCGCTGTGAGCTCACCCAGACCCTCACTGGTCACAGTCATCCCTGGGTTAGTCACTCTTCAATCACAACACATCATGAGTCACTGTTAGCTTGTTTTAATGTTTGYTATATTTAAATAAAATTAAACACCACAACGGTTTAATAGATTTTATATCATATTTAAATTTTAAATGCTAATTTCTCGATTCTTCCGTTAGCTAACCACACACAGGCTAACCTAAAGTAACGGTGCTAATGTCAGAAAGCTAACAAGTAGTGCTGAGATGCTCTTAACACTTCTTGCTAAAATCCTGGATATTTTTTCTGTTAGCTCATCATTTGGCATTTTAGTGTAGGGATGTTGGCTAAATGCTATCGACTAGCCTAGGCTAAAGACACCATGTGTTAGCATTGTAATGCTAACATTGTAACGTAAAGTGATCAAATGCATTTATGATAAAGACCAATTGGACAATGTTAGAAGCTAATAACCTTTCGATGGCAAATCTCTACTGTTAGCATAAAAATGCTAATGTGGAGATGCTAATTATCAGCCTGCATAAGGCTGATTAGCTAAATGCCAATACTTGTGTATGTTCACTTCTAATCAAAATCTTATTACCTGCCTAGCAAAGAATAACTATTTACATGGCTAGCATAAGCATGCTAACAAGGAATCAGGTTCTAGGTTTTATCTAAAACTTTTAGTTATACTTACATTTTTTTGAATTATCATTAGCAATGCTTAAGCTAATGCTAATTGTTAGCATAAACATATTTGTGATCAGCTAAATAAGGCCAGACGAGAGCTAACCAGGTGTTAAAATTACAGTTAGCCTACTGGATGGCTTAAAAACAAATGCCTAAAGTTAATAAGATGCTAACGATCGAAAAGTACAGAAAGAATATTCACTTTTCCTGAGCTTGCTAATGATTAGCATACTGATGCTAGTGACTAGCCTGGGGATGCTAGTAAACTCATTGATTTACTTTACTATTCTCCAACCTCAAGAACTAAATAAATCACAGTATTTGTTTTCTCGGTGCTCTTGTGCGTTGCTTTAAAAAAAAAACAGTTAAACAGGAAGTTGGTTTGGGCCCGTTTTCTAATCGTCTTCTGTGGATATATGATATGTATTTGATATGAAGAAACATTTGTATTGTGCCTGCTACTGTCAGTGTTCTTTATTCTTTACAGCTCCTACTGGACGCTTACGAAAGCTCGACTCGCGAGGAGGAAAATTTCATTTAAACAACCCTCTAGGTACTCAAACATGGATGTGGAAACGAACCGAGCAGGAAGGATTTTATTAGATTTGGGCTGATTTTTTTTTTTTTTTTTTGGAAAAAGATGGTTGTGTGGAGCTAAACTGGGCCTGAAGTTAGTTAAAAATATATATTTAGAACTGAAAAAAGTTCAAATTTACTTCAATCATATAATTGAGTAGGTGTGGCTTACTGTTGTGGTAGATAATTAAGGTATGATGGACCATTGTGTCCTACAAKATATGGCAGGTCATTTTATCATGAAATTGGATGGCAGGCTGTTAGTTTACTCAAGACATGCTGTTATAATTTAATTTATGGCAGGCCATTGTAGCATACAATTCATAATTATAGCAGGTCATTGTATCACATAAGTTTCAATTTATGGCAAGCCAATGTTTTATATAATAAAAAAAAAWWTTTTTTTCAGTTTTGAATGTTTATTTTTTTAAACAAACTTTATGGCCCCAGTGTAGCTCCACATTTGTCAGAATTATGCAGCTGAAACTCCATCTTGTGTTTTCCGCTTCCATTCGATCCCATCAGAACTCAGACGTGGTGATTTTCACTTCTTGCATGAGGGAACCGTCTGCTTGTTGCCTCCCTTCACTAAGTGACGTCCTCGTGTTTCCCTGGATTTACTTCAGGGGGGGTGTGTGTGCCGACGTTAAGGGTTACCTGCATGCTGAGTTCTTTAGTTCATCACAGGAACAAACAAGCTGTAGACAGGAAGTAACACTTTTAAGTTTTGAGGCTGTACAGATGTGCAAACGTGATTGTTCTCGTTATCGTGCCATTTATCAATAACTGGTTTGATGATTCTCGTTGCTGTTTGTGTGTATTTGAAATAAACGCTACAAAGTCTCACCTCCCGAGTCCGTCAATAACTGAGGCAGGAACCACGGTGTCAAGTTAAACATAAATGTTTTTAATAGTACTATTTACAAAAAAGAAAACAACTCAGCTGTTTGATTAGGTTAACTGCTGCAACAATCGAACATCGACATCTGGAACTACAAAAAGAAAACAGTGACTGAATGGCTGTGATGGAAAACAGGATGTTTTTTTGTTTTGTTTTTCATTTTTTGCATAGCGATTTAAAGTGGAGGGGGCGGGGTCAGAGTGAGATTACACAGAACAGAAAATAAATGCGAACAGAAGTTTTGGAGGGGAGGGGGAAAAAAACCTGAGCTTCTAACAGAGCTGCTACATTTTTTATGTTTGTAGAGAAAGAAAACAAAAAAAAAGGGCAGGAAGAGTTGATTTACAGCAAACAAGTGAAATCAGCTGGGATTATTGTGATCAGACTAAATCTTATTTCTCGGCATGCAGCAGCTTTCTGCCAGGCAAGTGCTCAAAAAAAAAAAAAAAAGCTTTCTGAACCGAGCCGAACAGGAGACCAGAGGAATGATTTTAAAATGAAAATATTACCGAACGAACAGGAAGAAAAACAAACATGTCAGGAATGGAAAACAAACAAAGCAAAACTAGACTTGGCAGTTAGAAGTGCTCAGGGGATTCAAGCGACCTCTAGTGGTGGAGGAGGGAACCACGTCTCAGATGTACCTGGATGAGGAGGAGCAGGAGAGGGCTTTGTTTTTTTTGTTTTTGTTTTTTTTTTTTCTTCTCTCTTTTTTGTTTTGTGTCACTCCACTAAAAATGTACATGGGGATTTACAAGCAAACTATAGAAAACACCCTTTGGCCATATTTTTGAGGAGTCCGCTACATAGTGCGCTACGAGTGTACACGCCACGTATGAAACACCACAAAGCCCCCATGTACATTGTTTAGCCTACTACAGAACTCTTTTTATATTGTTTTATACCTTTTTTTTTATTACATTTATCTTTTTTTCTTTGTGACAAAAACAAGTGAAGGGAAAGGCTATCTCCATAATGTTCACTAAAAACTGTGAAAGAATTAGACTGATGTTTGAATATCAAACAACAGGAACCCATTTTATATCTTCAGCTTTGAGGTTCTGCTTGTTAATGCCACAGAGGAGCTGTCCGTCACCCGTCGGTGGGCGGGGCCGGGGGCCCGTCGCTCACCGGTGGGCGGAGCCCTTGACTTTGGGCCCGCCGTCGTCGTCGCAGGGCAGCTCCAAGTCGTCYGAGTCCAGGCGGCCGTAAGCCGTCGCTCGGCAACCGGAGATGCTGCGGATCCTGGGCCTGATGACGGGGTCGGCCTCGGGCTCCGGGGCCGGGTCCTCCAGCAGGGGGAAGCTGCGGCGCTCCCAGGGCGCCACCGTCTGAAACACAGAGAGCAGGAATTAAAGAATTTAACCTCTTCAGCCCCAAGGAGTTTTCTTMAAGTTTATTTTGCTTAAAATCCCATCTGAAATGTCACTGAGTGAATCTCAGCTTTTATTAACTCAAAATAAAGATAACACTTTTTATTAGAAGTGTCAGTATTAAAACAGCTGCTGTGGTTTTACAGATATTAAGGATGGAACATAATATTTTAATTTTTTTTCACTCTCATTTCTCATTTTTTTTATTATACAGTTTATATAAACACACTTAAAACCATAATAATCAGGTTAAAACTTGGAAATCATTAAACCACTTGTGGACATCACCTGTGCAAAGATTCATGCTGCTAAAATGAACTGGAGCAAAGTTACAGAGGTTTTAATGAACAAACATTTTAGTGTTTTGTCATTCTGCACAGGACAGACCATGATGGTTCATTAATAAATGCTAAGAAATTTTAAGTTTCTACATCCAAAAGTTATTTATTTTTTCTTACCTGGCTTAAAAGACTTGTTATTGAATGTTTGTTCTTTTGAAAAATTATCCAAACATTTATTTGTCACCATATGTATAAAATAATGAGAAATTACTGCTTTTATTCATGTATAATACTAGAAATTTAACACTAAAAATCATCCATAAAGTGTGTGTTTAAAGTATTACACRGGTTGATAATTTGATTTTTTTTGTTGTTTTTTAAGCTCAAAAAATGATCGTTTTATACATGAATAAATACGGTATATTTGACTTCAGTTGGACCATATTCACTCAAAATCAAGTGAAAAAACCTTTTAACACACTTAACATTTAGGCACCTCCCTTGATTTGTTTTTTAAAAAATAATGTCAAAATATTTCCTTTACAGATTTGCAATGACGTCATTTTGTACAGTTTTACTTCCTGATTCAACTGCTTGACGTTTGAACTGTTTGGTGAATGTAAAAATAGTTTCCATGAGCTTTTAGCCAAGATTCTTAGCTTTATTTTGATTTTAAAAAAAAACATGTCCAGGCTCAACTAAAAGAAGTTAAAATAGAAACGGGAAAAAAAAAGGTTTAACTCAAGAGGTTAAGATGAATTCAGGGTTTTCTCAGTTTCAGTTTCTTCTCAGGTTTACGTTTTCTATCAGTGGTATTAAAATCTTTTTATTTTTCTTACAGCAAAGAACAAAACTTGAAAACCTTTCTAGGATCATGAGCTTGTAGGCAGTTATTTTTACTAACATCACACCAAGTTTCAGCTCAATATCTTCTAAATCCACTGAAGCTTCAGCCTGAAAATGAAAATAGAGATGAGAGCAGAGCTGCTGAAGGTTTCCCTAAGATTTAACCTGTTAGCTTCATGTTAGCGCCAAAGATAAACATGGTGATAGAACATTAGCTACATATGACCTAACGCCACTGCTAAATCACACACACACACAAACACAAACACACACACACACACACACACACACACACGGCATTACTTCCAGAGTTACCATTATTACTTTGGATGTACAAACCCGCTCCTCGAAGGTGAAGTCCGGTGTGGAACACCTGGTGTCCTCGTTGGACAGCAGTCTGTGGGAGTCCCTGGAGCAGGGCGTGTGGGGGTTGGACGAGGCGTCGGGGCTCGCCGGGCTCATGGGCGACGGCACGTGGCTGTAGTCGTGCAGCGAGGGGCAGTGGCCCGGGTCCGGGGAGGCGGGCTGCGGGGTGGGAGGGTTGGTCCCACAAAGCAGGGGGGTGGTCCTCCCGTCCACAGACTTGTAGGACCTGAAAGACGTGGGCTTTAGAGTCGGACCTGCAGGAGCAGCCGGCCCAGGAGGTGGACCGGGACTCACCTGCTGCCCCTCCTCTTAGCCGGAGCCAGGGCCATCCAGGTCCAACGAGACCGCTCCTGGTCCTCGTAGGGCTGATGGAGCTGGATGAAGGCTGCGTCTGTGAGGTCCTCCACCTGCAGGTMCACATAAACACTTCAATTTAAGGTGGACTGACTCCAGATTCACACTTTAAATCCAGGGTGTATTCAGAGATTCTCAAGTTAAATTTGATACTTTTTAATACTTTTTAACACATCCCAATGTTTTTAATACCAACACAACTTTTTAAAGATTTTACTACTAGTAGTACTTTACTACAGTATAGTTTTTACTGTAGCGGCTTCAACCTATTACAGTTACTGAATACATATTTATTTCTTTGCCTTAATGAAACACTGATTTATATACAATTATTTGTTATTTAACCCTAAATTCAAGACAAAATATGTTTTCATTATTATGTGTAGGAAGAGCAGCGCTATCAGAAACAGGTCGTCTGCTCCCACACGTCCCAGGAACACAGAGCCAAAATACCCTGATGTCACACAACCATCCTGTAAATAACATCTGTGTGTGTCTGTTTTTAAACGTGTGTTAAAACTTTTGTCGAACATGAGAATGAACCCGACCACCGCTACAGTTTTACCCTCACAACCACCATCTTTTATCTGCGTTTACATTGACAATACCAGCATTTACTACTAAAGAAAAACTGTAAAAGATTCATCAATCAACTTCTTTTAAAAAAATTTTTTCAATTTTTTCATACTGAGCAGAGGGTTATCTGTAATAACTTTCAAAAATCACCTTTAAAATAAAAAAACCTGCAAAATCACCCTTCCTGTGTCAACTTTTATCACCAAGCATCAACGTAAATAAGATGTTTTTATGTCTAAAAATCACAATTTATAAACTTTCTTGTAGCTAAAAATTMTTTCAATTAAAAACTACGATTGAAAATAAAAACTTACTAAACAAACAAAATCAACAGAATCTACGTGAGAACTGTAAATTGTGTCATGTGATCCTGTATTACATTTACATAATGTATGATACCAAATAAATAATTTATTATTTAATACTTTAACACAGTGTAGGATTTAAATTAGCTCATATTTATCTACAAACATAAATCTGACTTCTTCATAGAGAATGTCCTTTTTCAGACGTGTCCTGACAAATATATTTTATTTAAAACACCGCTCCAACTTCTGCTACTAGAGACACTTAAGTCCCGCCCCCATACTATTTCTGATTGGCTAGTARGCCTGTCTAAAGTTAAAGCTGCATCTCAGATAGGCCCAGAGAAATGTTTGTTAAATCTGTTTTCCACGCAGCGCATCAGATTCCAGCATAGCGAAAGTGCACTAGTTCTTTAAAAATTAATACCTCGTCAGATGGCGTTTATTACCTTTTAATGGCTTTAATTTTTGCTTATTTACTACCTTTTAATAGTTTTTATAACCCCACGGAGACCCTGAAATCCTTAAAATAAACAAACCTGAAATCTAAAAACAACTTTAACTAATAAATGTTGTAAAATATGTCAAGTATTTTGTTGAAATGTTCCTTTAAAAAACACTTCCATTAGTTTAAGTTTGTCTTTTTGTTGTAAACAAACCAAGAAAAGAAATAAAGAAAACTCAAGACTAGAAGAATGAGTTAAAATCAGGAATCGTCATAAAATCAGACATGTTAAATATTTTAAATCAATTACATTTTTATTAAAATAGCCCATGATTTAAAAATTAACAACTAAAATAAATGTAAATATTCCAGACTGTATTTTTTAAATAATAGGTGTTTACATTTTAACCACCAGGTGTCGCCGTTTCCTCATTCTGTAAAATGTTAAAACTATTAAGGCTCATTTTTATTTTATTTCTTATTAAAACAATAAATTGAGTTAATTGATTAATTAAGCTGAGAGACAAACAGGAAGTGGACTCGCCTCTCGTTCGTTCTCCTCTTCAGTGATTGGCTGAGAGAAAATATCCACCGATCTCCAGCTGACGAAAACAAAAACAAGTTCGGGTTCAGACCCTGAGGTGAGAAACTGGACCTGGACCTGGTTCTGGTTCTGACCTGGGTGTGAGGATCTCTTTGTACTGCAGTTTCTCCACCCGGGTGGTGGCCGCGACAGACATGGGGATGACGATGTTGTTGATGTCGAAGGAGCTCTCACCTCGCCGGCGTTTGATTGGGTGCTGCAGGAGGACAAATGAAAACTGTTTGAACTCGCGTAACACGAAACCCGAGTCGGGCCGGGCCGGGCATCGGACCCTTACCGGTGTGCTGGAGATGCACTGGCTGCCGGGCCCGAGCGGCGTGGAGTTCTCGGAGGAGGTGGACAGCTGGCGGGTCAGAGGACTGTGGAGCGACGGGTGCAGGTTGGGCAGCGTGCTGCAGGGGCTGCTCGAGTCCAGGAACAGTTTGGGTGAAGCTGGAGGACCCAGAACCAGCAGATTTAAAGAACCGCTTGGTTCTGACTAGAGTACAGCATGTGTCAAATTCAAGGCCTGTGGGCCAAACGTGGCCCGCCACATCAGTTTATGTACGGTGACTCGCAAGAGCTTCGAAGTCGTAAAAATAAGTTGCTTTAAAGCCAGAATTAAACAAAAACTACATTTCCCACAGTGCCTGTTGATTTAACCAGGAAATGACAATGTAAAAAAAACTCAATCCTTGGCCCCGCCCCCTGCATGAGGTTTGTACGCTTGTGAAACTGACCAAGACTTTGACCCGCCTCTAAAACATGGAAGATACTGGTCCTCTAGGACCAGGACTGAGGACCACTGGTCTACAGAACTCACTGTCGGACCGGTCCAGCGACGGCTCCCTCGTCCTCTTGCGGCTGTAGTTCTTGTCGTAGGGTCCTAACGGGCCGGAGAGCCCGTGGAGACGCTCYGTCTTGCAGCCGCCCTGGTTGTCCAGTCGGGCCCCGCTCAGAACACCGCCATCAACAGACCTCTGCTTGTCGACCCGGTTCTTATAGTGACTGAGCCCTGCAACAACGGACCATCAGAACCACACAGTCAGACGACCATCAGAACCACACAGACAGATCATCAGAACCACAAAGACAGATCATCAGAACCACACAGACAGATCATCAGAACCACAAAGACAGATCATCAGAACCACACAGACAGATCATCAGAACCAGTCTGATCATCGGAACCACACAGACAGACCATCAGAACCACACAGACAGACCATCAGAACCACACAGACATATCATCAGAACCACACAGACAGACCATCAGAACCAGTCAGACCATCAGAACCACACAGACAGACCATCAGAACCACACAGACAGACCATCAGAACCACACAGACATATCATCAGAACCACACAGACAGACCATCAGAACCAGTCAGAC